CGAGGCATAGTACGAGCCCGTAATTTGTGAGAGAGACGGATTGTCCGCGGAGAATCCAGCCGAGACGAGCTACCGTTCCCGTTAGGAGGAGTTTCCGGTGAGACGAACGTACTCATGTAAAGCCGCCGATTTATACTTGTGTCAGACGGGCCGCGAGGAACTCGCGTTCAGACTTATCGTTCTCGTTTTGTGATTCGGCTATCGCCGATAAAGATTCCGTATATCCCGGCGCCCCGTCTGACTTCGCGTATCGAGATATTCTGTTGCAGGACCGTCGCGCCGCGCGCCCGCCGAGCGCCACAGCCAAGCCATTCCATGTAATTGTGTCGTTCCCGTCCTTGTGCGCGTGTGAGAAATCGCGTTTTCGAGAGGGCCTTGTGCCCCAGTTACGGGATTTAAAGAGAGTTTCCGGGATCACGGGATCCCGCGGGACATATTAGTCCCCAAGTTCCGATTTCGCGTGTCGATCACGCTGCCTGCGTACGCCGAGCGCTCCGCGCCGGCGTACCCGCGAATATCACGCCCGCACTGCATGCTTCATGATTTTGCATGTCACGCGGATGGGCCGGTAATCAGCGAGTCGTACCGCCGAAAGAGAAACCGCTCTTAATTTTCCGTTTCCGAGACACGATCTTGTCGTTCGATCGTGAAAAGCGCGAATTGCGAGTCTGTCACGTCGAGTACGCTGCATTGTTGCGCGTCTCAAGTATTCCCGTCGATTATCGTATTCTCGCTTGTATTCTTGAATGTAATATTCGTCCGCTCAATACACTTGTTATTTTCTTATTGTTACTAATTACTGTCGATTCTTTCAGCCTATTCTCGCTCCCCGAATCTTGACCGTTTTCCCTCGAATCACCCCCTTTACCACTCTCGTAACTGAGCCACCGGTTATCGCCGTCCTTGTCCGACCGCCGTATTGAAGTCGCACCTGATCGCGTGATTAATTTCCCCTTGAGTCATTAGATTTCCGAACAGCGAGATGTTTCAGTAGAGAGGCACTCTCTATAACGTGCCTGGCGCCCAACTTTATTCCCGTTTTCGATAGGCGAGATGCCTGAGTTACGGTTAATCACGCCTTAGCTTTCCTTTTATCGTTTTCGCGGAATTACGCGGGTCGGGCGAGCGACGAAGTTGCACCACGCTCGTGAGTGCGGTCGCAATACTTGAAATAATATTATGATTTCACTTCTTTTTGGTAATATTATATTTTTAATTTATCAAATAAAATTTTTTTAAATCATGTATACGTTAATACAACTTGGATTTTGTTTGTTTAATTTGATACAATA